TAATATGAATTTTCTAGAAACTCTCCACACACCTATGAATATAACCCACGCGACGCGCCAAAAAAAAACTAGTACCTATTATTAGTTTGCTATAGTCAGTGTGCTATAAAATTTGGAAGCTATAACTGTGGTTGTTATAGCGCTTATTAATCGGAAAACTTCAGATATTTGACCAGAAGCGTTTACAAAGTTCGAACTTTCCAAATTATTTAACTTCAATGGATTCTCATCGGACATTAGTACTTTTACGAAAACATTACATAACTTCATCGTGGAAAACTCGGCGTGTGTGGCTGGTGAATAACGAAAGACAAAGCTAGCTAGCTCCCCGTTAAGCGAATCGTATCACATCAACTTGTAATTAATTCGCTCATCGTGAACCCTCGATAAGATATCGAAGAAGTACCAGATTAGAAAGAAGGCTTTATATTGCTTGTAAATTTGTGAAACTTTTGTACATAAATCATTGTTTGTAATAACTATTTGTAATAACTGTTATTGTAAATTGTATTGTTGTGTGAATATTAAAACATATTTGTGTTAAAAAAGAAAACTGTGTGCATCAATCTTGTTGGCAAATATCATAAACTGAATATATATCGGCTTTTACTTAACTGCTAAATCCAAAGTGCAATTTAACTACTAAATTTAACGTATCATTTAGCTCGGTTTCAGACCTTTCGAAATTGTAATACGTAACATTACACATAAAAGACCTACGGCATAATGTTTTTAAAACCAGTAAGACGAAGTCGTTTTCCACAATCTATAAAAAATTCATTCTTCTTTGGTTATTATTTATTCTACACATATACGTTAATCATCTTAACCTCTACAGGACTCTCAAATATTGTGCTCTTATTGAAGTATGTTATTAAGCCTAAAACATAACCACTAAGGTAAAACCTAATATGGATTCAACCACTGGAATGATGTTACTACAAAAAAGGAACAACAACAACAAAAAAAAAAACGTTTTCTCTAGATACCAACTCAATCAAATTTAGTTACAACAACAAGATTAGTACTCCGCTAGTAGTTCATGGCGAAGTAGTTGACTTATATATACGTTCTTTAGCCCGCAGCCGAAAGTGGTGAACACATTTCTTTATATATGTCGTTTAGTAAGCAGCCAGAAGTGGCGAGGTAGTTTACTTATATATACGTTCTTTAGCCCGCAGCCGAAAGTGGTGAACACATTTCTTTATGTATGTCGTTTAGTAAGCAGCCAGAAGTGGCGAGATAGTTTACTTATATATACATTCTTTAGCCCGCAACCGAAAGTGATGAATACATTTCTTTGTGTATGTCGTTTAGTAAGCAGCCAGAAATGGCGAAGTAGTTGATTTATATATAAATTCTTTAGCCCGCAGCCGAAAGTGGTGAATATGTATGTCATTTAGAAGTAGTCAGAAGTGGCGAGGTAGTTGACTTATATATACATTCTTTAGCCCGTAGCCGAAAGTGGTGAATATGTATGTCATTTAGAAGTATGTCAGAAGTGGTGAGGTAGTTGACTTATATATACATTCTTTAGCCCGTAGCCGAAAGTGGTGAATACATTTCTTTATGTGTGTCATTTAGAAGTATGTCAGAAGTGGCGAGGTAGTTGACTTATATATACTTTCTTTAGCCCGTAGCCGAAAGTGGTGAATACATTTCTTTATGTGTGTCATTTAGAAGTATGTCAGAAGTGGCGAGGTAGTTGATTTATGCATATTCGTTCAACACAAAGCTCATAGTGACGAAGTAATTTCTATATGTATATCGCTGAGCACATAGCCGGCGGTGGCGAGGTAGTTAGTGTATGTATTACATATATATATATTATTTAATGTACTATCTTTGGTGAAAAGGTAATTGTTAAGCATGCAGCCAATGGAGGAAACTTAGTATTAGTTTCTCTCTATATATATTGTTCAGCACTTACTTGGATTATAGTGCTTCAAGACAGTTGTTTATAAAGGCCATTATTAACTTTTTTCACTGTTATCAATATTTAGTTTAATTATGTCCAACGTAACATTGAAACAGCTTTAAAGTTCGGAGGAATGTAAATCTAGTTTAGTCTCAGAAAATTTTGGGATTTCTATTCTAACATTTTAAAGTCATCATAATTCTTACCTTTTGCAGGAGCATAAATATTCAAATAGAGACAATCTTCACTATAGTTTTGAAGATAAGGTCGAAGTCTTCGAAGATATGCTAGTCTTCCAGCAGGCATTCTTTGCAAGGCTTCAGTTTCATTATGAATATCTGGAAACACCTGTGGACAAACAGGTGCTAGTTTATCGGACATTCGAACACCCTTCCATCTGGGAAGAGTAACAGGAGGCATGAAACGAAGAGATCCAATAGGCGGACTAGCGAAAGGAACCCCTAGAAAGACATCGACAGGCTGAAGACGACGGTTTGAAAGGATTTGAATAATGCCTCTTACAGAACCATACTTTGTTTGTACAATTCGCGTATCTCGCTTATGAGGCTCACCTTGTAAATGCTGGAATAAAGCCAAGAACATCAACAAAACAGTAACATCTATGGTCAGCATGATGTACAGATTTATCTTTGAGCTCTGTATCTCCGTATCTTCCTAAGCACTTTAGCTGACCTTTTTTTTTCTCTTCAACTTTTAATACCAGTAAACAACTTTTATAAGTAGACAATCCAAAATAAGTTTTAGTGAGAGGTATACACCATAATGAATGTCATTATATGGAAACAAAGAGGTTCCCAACAATACTTGGTTAGTTTTCAAGAATAAATACACATATCAGTATATCGAAATGAGATTATTTTGTATTTTTACGAGAGAATTCTTCACAAAACGTCAGTTTAAAACTTTGAAATTTTGTATTGAGCTTTGACACTTTAGTTCTCAATAATTGTTTCATGTACTAATCAAACTAATTTAAGCAGTTTTTTCAATTCCAGTTCATAACAACAAATAAAAGAATAGTTTTTCGTATCTAGAAGGATTTTCTTTATGAAAGGTGCCGCTGAATAAAAAGGAAAGAGACAATCTGACGTACTGAAACTACTGAACATTCAGCCTCACCACCACGCATCCACGGCGGACACACTGCGAGTCCCAGTATTTGTTAGACTAGCCAAGGAAAAATCAAGCCAATCTTATATTATATGACCACACACTAGGTCCCTCTCACAGCATGTCTACCGTTGTTTGTGGTGAGGATCACCAGCAATCGCTCAGTTCATACTGAGAGTGCGCAGAAGATGAGGGAGAATCCAATTTGTGACAAAGGGGAATCAGAACTACAGCAACCTAAGCGAAGCTGTCAATGACTCAAAAGATGTTGAAGAAACATTTAACAACAAATCTAACTAGAAAACAACATAATTGTTTTATGAAATTTCTGACTTGCCTTGTTAATAATAGAATGCTTATATGTTGGGATGGAGAATAACTTACGCCCCGCATCTTTGATGTCTCCAAACAAATATTACACTCTATTGATTCCGTGAAGCAACACTGCAAAGCTATCAAAAACATTCTTGTGCCTTAAAAAAGTAATAGAAATACATTGGTTGTTTTTAATTCATTAACTTGTGAGTTATGATCTAGCAAGCAAGAGAACCTTTAAAAATCTAGAAAATTAAACTTCAGAGTCTTTGGTTCCTACGAAACTAAATAAATAATATGGTCTTTCACTTTCTTCTACATTTTTATTTAACATAAAAACAATAAACGTAGTACGACAAAGATCTTTTTCAGCAGCAACAAACATGGCTTACCGTTGCCTAAGATACTCTGAAAATGTATTCATAACCGGAGACGTTTAATTCTAGTTTATGACACAAGTGGTTTTTATTCTTTTACAAATCTATTTTCAACTACATACACAATTTACCAAAAATACAAGTTATTCTAAAAACATATATGTGTCAAGATATAGTCACTCCTTTATTGAAGGTAGCTAAAGAACATGTTAAGCTTCTGTTTGTAGGATTTTTACAACTTTCTCACTGGAATAAGTAATCATCTTCTTTAGGATCAGCAGTAATGGGACGTGTGCACGCTACTAGAAAGTTTCGTCTTCTTTTCTTAGCAGAAAATAAAATGAATTAGTGCAAAATGTTGCATAACTTGGATGAAAAACTCGATGAAAATGTTCTATGATTGTCAGGTTTGAACGTTTGACGTATTGGAAAACTAAGTTGAAACAAATACAAAAATCGAATTTCTATTTAAACAACACTGGAAAAGTAACATCACAAAATATGTAAACAAATGATAGCTTCAATTAAGAAATTGAGATATCCCAATATAAGTGCAAATAGAGACATTGTAAACTTCCCCATGTTCTTAAACATAATTTATTCATGTTTAAAACCTTTAGCTATAGAACTATTACAAAAGACACAGAGTATATGTATATATATATATATTAACGTAAAGATGAAAATGAGAAGTTGGAAAAAACATTTTATTATATCTCTGCTCTCATAGTTTGTTTAATTATATTGGTCTGCTAAAGTTCATAGTTTGTTTTATTATATTGGTTTGCTAAAGTTCATGTTTTGTTTTACTATACTGATCTGTTTGTTTGTTTTGAATTTCGCGC